AAAAAAAAAAAAAAGAAATCACTTGGGCAGAGCCTGTGCCTCAAAGGAGAGGGGTGCCAGCCCCATATGCCAGAGGTGGCGGGTTCAAAGCCAACCCCGGAGAAAAAACTGCAAAGAAAACAAAAAAGAAATCATTTAATATTGTACACACAAAAAGCAATTCTGTGCACTCTGAAGAGTTATTATTTTAATACTGCAAAGAAGTGTAATTAGCATACTAGCAAAAACTCTATCTTAACAGAAATTAAAGGATTTGGAGCTACTAAAACCATCTCCAGGTACCAAAGCTGAAGGTGTATCATGGATGGAAAATATTTTTTCATTCTGTTGTGAAATCTCTCTTTACCAACTTTCTAACTGATCTGAGATAAATATCCTCAGAACCACATACAGATATTAAGAATATATGTTCAATAGTAAAGATTAGGTCACTAAACTACCATTAAGTATAATTATCTGGACAGTAAATAAACTCAGGTTTCAGGAAAAAGCTGATTTGCCCTGGGCACTTTAACATAGCAACTTATGGCTTGGAGCCTGTAGCTCAAGCAGCTAAGGCACCAACCACATACACCAGAACTGGTGGGTTTGAATCCAGCCCGGGCTTGCCAAACAACAATGACAACTACAACCAAAAAATAGCCAGGTGCTATGGCCGGCACCTGTAATCCCAGCTACTTGGGAGGCTAATGCAAGAGAATTGCTTAAGCCCAGGAGTTGGAGGTTGCTGTGAACTGTGATGCTACGGCACTCTACCCAGGGCAACAGCTTGAGGCTCTATCTCAAAAAAAAAACATAGCAACTTACATAAAGTTAGCTTGGCTGTCTGGCGACAGTATCATTGATGTTTCAGAGTGACTTTCTACATTATTATTCATTAGAATGAGATTATTGGGAGCTAGCCACATACATCAAGGCTGGTGGTTTCAAACCTAGCCCGGGCCAGCTAAACAACAGTAACAACTGCAACCAAAAAATAGCCCGGCGTTGTGGCAGATGCCTGTAGTCCCAGCTACTTGGGAGGCTGAGACAAGAGAATCGCTTAAGCCCAAGAGTTTGAGGCTGCTATGAGCTGTGACTGTACCAAGAGTGTCATAGTGAGACTCTGTCTCAAAAAAAAAAAAAAAAAAAAAATGAGATTATCCAGGTGTCTTTAAGGTATACTCTTAGACAAAATGACTGCAAATTTGGAAAAAATAAGGGAAACCTGTTGATCTAGACTTCTAAACTGTAAACTCTGTGAAAGATAAACTATAAGCTCTGTGAAGATAAGGAAATAGTCTGGCACAGTGGTTCATGGGAGCCTGTAATCCTGGCACTCTGGAAGGACTGGGAAGATCACTTGAGGTAAGAAGTTCAAGACCAGCTGGAGGATGAGTGAAACCTTGTTTCTTAAAAAAAATCAAAAATTAGCAGAAACAAACAAAAAATAAAAAATTAGCCAGGTATGGTGATGAGCACCGTAGTCCCAGCTACTTGGAGGCTGAGGTAGGAGGATTACTTGAGCCCTGCAGCTTCAGGTTACTGTGACCTATGATAATGTCACTGTGCTCTAGCCTGGACAACAAAGACTCTAAGAAAGATAAGGAAATGTATTGTTGGTACATATAGGTGCTTAATTAATATTAGCTAAACAAGTGGACCAAGCGTAAGGTAGACATTGCTTAGAGTGGTAGGATCCGATATATCCTTAATTCTAGGCAAACTGTAGCCTCAAGTGTATTTGTGTGCGATTATCTGTAGCACAGGCTTGAAACGTGAACGATTATAATGATAAGTAAGCCCTCGAAAATGAATGAAGCGTGAGAAAAACACGCTTCCTTTTGGAAGTAAAATGCTCACTTGCTACTAGTAGTAAATCACTTGAACAAGACAAGGTTGAGAGTGAGGGAGGTAATCTACTGCCACTGGGTCTGAGAGACTCTGAGACAAACCAACTAGCTAAAACATCACCACGTAAAGTGGGGTTAAGTCAACACAGCATGCCCCCTACCTCCCCGTGCCCTTAGTGATCATCATTTATAGTCCAGAGTGTGTGGCTCTGGGCAGCCCTAACTCAGAGCCACTGCAGCCATGCAGTATTTTCAGCTCCTTCCTGAGCCATTATACTTGGAACCAAGGGGTATGTACGACACTTGAATTATAATTGATGTGGGAACTCTGTCTTTGAACTTCAACTCTATGCTTTACATTTGCAGTCAGAATATCTTATTAGTGCTGAGAACTATTTCAGACCAGAGGCACTGGGTATCATACATCAACTAGGCACCATTCATCAGTGCTGAAATTATGGTTGCTGAGCAATGAAAAATTGAAACAGTCACTATGCTGTTTCTCTATGCTAGACAGAAAGTTTTCTGAGAGTAACCCAGCACTCTGCTTCACAATAAGAAAATAAAAACAAAAAGAGTGTAGGGTATAAATACAGTCTATGCTTACGCAAGGAGTTAGGAGGCTACTGTAATAATCCAGGTGGGAGAGGTGGCTGTGTGACAGAGCTGTAGTGGTAGGGCTGGCAAGAATTAGATTTTTATGGGCGGTGCCCATAGCTCAGTGAGTAGGGCACTGGGCCTCATATACCAAGGGTGGTGGGTTTGAACCTGACCCCAGCCAAACTGCAACAAAAAATAGCTGGGCATTGTGGCAGGTGCCTGTATTCCCAGCTACCTAGGAGGCTGAGGCAAGAGAATCGCCTAAGCCGAGGAGTTGGAGGTTGCTGTGATCTGTGATGCCACAGCACTCTACCGAGGGCGACAAAATGAGACTCTGTCTCTTAAAAACAAAAAAAAACAAAGAAAAAAAGAAGTAATTAGATTCTGACTATGTCGGAAGATGGAGCTGGCAGAACTGGCTGATTAATTTTGAGGTGCCTATTAGAAATCTTTCCCAATTAAATCCGTAAGTCTCTTCAGGTTATTTCAGATTCACTTTACCTTTACTAAACACCTATTATGTGACAGGCATC